CTTATACCTGCATAACGTCAAGAGCCCCGAGCTCTGTCCATCTACCCTTTTCAGGATTATAGATTTGGGTTCCTTTGATGATAACGGTATGAGCGGGCAAGTTGACGCCCCAAGCTAGGGTAGCGGTGGAAAACAGTACCTCAAAAAAGGAGAATCAAACTCAATCTTGAGCTGATACATGAACCAAAACCTAAGGGGGAGATTTCTATCTTTCAGCACTTAAATCTTTTCTTTAAATCAGGTTACATTGTTTATTCAATTCGTCGAGCTAGAGGTCGTCGAAGAAGAGAAAAGTCAAGTGGAAATTTCATGCTTGACTGCTGGCCAATAAAACAAAAAATATTCACAATATGGATATACCTGGATGTGCTTATCAGCAAACAAATCCTCAACGAGAGTACGATCAAGTCTGTTCATTCCAGCATGATGGATGGCAAAGCCATAAGGAAGTAAATCTTTTAGATCAAAATTTTTGACCTGTAAATTGTATTTAAAAGAGGCGAAGCTAAGTCCTTGTAACAAAAAATAAGAATTGGCACTTACTTGTTCAGCTTCAGTTCGAAGAATCTCTGTGCTAGCGCTTCCCTCCCTCATAAAAGCACTCAACGTGTCTTTTTCTAGACATGCGTCACGGATTGCCTTAGCTGTCTTGGCTGTTTCCTTACGAGAATGAACGAAGATAAGCACCTGAGCCAAATCAATAGGTGAAGCAAAGCAAATATCGAAAGAAAAACGAAAACCTGGCTTTTCCCAGCATGCTCCATTATTTTATCGTACACGACCTCGTTCATTGCTTGAAACCTTTTCAAGGCTTTCTTCTCAGTAACTCCTAAAATATCTTTAGCCTTCCAACCAAGCGCTGCGTGAGGATCGATTGCCTACCAATATATTGCTGCTCCAGTGGTACAGGACGGTAACTGTTATCGAAGTAGAACAGGTGTTCAGAATTCACTCGAAGGAAAGTTGCCACGTCCTGATAATTTGGGAGTGTAGCAGACAGACCAACAAGACGGCAATCATCGTGGGTTTGCTCAACCTGCCGCAAAGTTCTGAAAATAGATGTATAAAAGATCTGAAAGAATTTTCGTAAGTTTTGCGTATCTTAGTCCTAAATCATCAAGTAACTTGAAAACAATAGCAATACCTGACAACGATAGCTTCAAGAACGGGTCCGCGATCATCATGAAGCAAGTGAATTTCGTCAATAATCACAAGCCGCACAAGTTGGCTATAGGCTCGTTCACCACCTAAAGAAAGAGTGATCGAAATTCGAGTAACACATCAATGAGTGTACACACCTTTTCTAGTCACAATGTCATATTTTTCAGGAGTACAAACAATCACTTGTGTAGCCATAAACTGCTCCTTGCTCATTTGAGCGTCTCCTGTCATTTCTCCAACCTAAACAAGATTGCTCGAATTTGATATACGTGACAAACTCTGAATTGTACTCACTGTAATCCCAAATGGAGCCAATCTTTTCGTGAAGTTACCGACCATTTCTTGTACAAGAGACTTCATTGGTGCTATGTAAATACACTTAAATTCATCGACCTTTACGCTTCCGTCATCGTTCAAATGCTTCCCAATTTCGTGAAGGATTGTAAGCAAAGCAACATTGGTTTTCCCAGCCCCCTGAAATACATAGATAGCAACAAAATATTACAC